AGAAACTGAAACTATCATAAACTTTATGGAATATATTTTAAATAAGTACTCGAATTTACATTTTTGTCTCAGCTTTATCACTAGGTACGTATAAAATTAATTTCTGTAGTGGGCATATTTTTAAATTGGGTTATTTTCTTTGAACACAGATGTATAGTGCGCAGAATTATTATAAAGAGTGAACACCCTGAATAACTTTTGACCCAATTATTGTGTTTACACTTAATTTTAATGTTTAGAGGGCCTAACTTTAAATATGCAGCTGTATATGAATATGCATTACCTTAGATAATGAGATATGCCTTAAATTAGTGCAAATGATATTTTATGTTACGAACACATATTTTTTCTGAGTAAACACACTTTTTTTGACGGATTATAATTTTTTATCCTGAAAATATGGAGGTGGTAGTCGCGATTTTTGTTTTATTTCAAAAGCGTGTAATTCAAAAGAAAAATAATAAAAAAAAGACTGAAGTAGGTTGATCAGTTCTCCAGAAATCAAATTTTAAGTATACGACTTTTTTTAAAATTGGATAACACAAAAATCCACTGATTTCAACTAAATTTTGTATTTTTTCATTTAAAACTACCTACGTAATTAATTAACATATTTAAGATAAGACTTTAGAGCTATTAAGATTCAGTTTCTTTGCGAGAAATTTCATTTATTAGATAAAATTTTTTTCAGAGAGTTCATTTTTTCAAAATTTTTATGCACTGTACGATTCTGATTTAAGTATCTCACTAATTTTGTCTTACGTCTAACATTTGTTTTGAATTATAATATGAAGTATACTTTATATTTAACAATAACTTCTACGACTATGCCTTAAAACTGCTGAAGCTATCGAACATCCATGCGTTAAAATTTTACAAACACAATCATTCAATACTTTTCTGATGCTCTAAGGTTTAGTCTAAAGTCATAGACTTAATAAAAATTTTTTAGAAGAAATTATTTCATTGTTCGGGATTCTTATTTTAATATTTTGACCCAATTACATACAATATTTGATCCTGAACAATTGCATACAATATTTGATTTTTAAAGGGAAATCCAGAAAAATCAACTAATCATTTGTGCAGGAGACATTTATTACTATAATAACTTCAGCCTTATAATATATACAAAATCTAATAGTGAGAAAGGTATCTTCAATGCCTAAGGTAAATCTAGAGTCCTTAGGAAACAAAATATTGTTCCCTTTTCGCCCGTTATGAGGAAAGTCAAGTACTAGACAAGAATCGCAATATCTGTGAGCTCTAAATAAACTAGAAGTGCTGCTTAGCTCTCTTTTCGAATAAATACATGTAGGTAGGTAATAAATGATCATCAATTCCCTTCGCTGACTTTTACAACAGCATTTACGAGCGCACTTACTTCCACCCTATCTACCAAGTCCAGTTCGTAAACAATTTTATATTTCAACTATTTAAATTAAAAAGTTTAGAGATTTAACTGTTTTATATAATTACGATGTTTAATAATTTAAGACGATGTTTAAAATATTTTAAAGTAAGTCTTAATAATTATTAATAAAATCGAAACTATGTGTTTTAATAACTATTTATAAAAATTTTCATTTCAAAAAATTAATTATAAATGAGGATAAAACGAACCAAAACCTCCTTTTGATTTTAAAATCAGATTAAAATCTATTGAAAATTTATTATATAAAATATTACAATAATATTAATACTAGAAAGACTGAAACTTAGTATATACCTATATTGCCCAAAAGCAGTCAAAATGACTGCATTTTGAAAGAAACTAATGTGTAAATAAATTTTGCTTAATTAATTTTTAATATTTTTAATATTATTTACATTTATATAACAAGTTATTAGAAAATATTAACAATAAAAAAATTTACTTCACTTGGAAAGAAAATATTAATTTATGCATTATTATTTGTATATTTTTTGCAAATGAAAAAAGCAGTTTAAAAGCTGTCAAAAAGATTTTCTTTAGGCAACCTAGTGTTAAGGAAAGAATATCTAACTGATGAAGATTTTAAGTTACTCTTTTTTAACACAACTTCTATACTTTGAAATTACGTCATCCATAATTCTGCAATGAGAGAAAAAAATCAAACTACCCGAATATAGTAAAATTTACCATGTTTCAGGCTGTAGAGGAACCCTAAAAAGTCCAATAATTTTAACTTACTCACTTTGGTAATGGGTTTGGTAAAAAACGTAAAATATAGTGTTTTAATATGTGAAAAAATTTGGTAAACGTGGTAAAATTTGGTAATTTTATCATGACAGCTTAGAGTAAGGTAGAAAACCCTTTATTCAGTTACATTTACTTTTAAGCTTTGTATTTTGTTATTAAAAGTGAAGTAATAAGAACTCTAATTTTGAAAACTAGAAATTACGGCAAACTATTACCATATAACCGGAAAAATTACCAAATGAATAGGTAGTTTATAAATATCGAATTTTTTGCTTTCATAACCAGAGTTTTGGTTTTATATTCCAGCCATGTCATTACCATCCAATACCGTAATTTTACCACAGATTTTTTTCCTCCATGTGCTATTTTATAATTTAGTATAATTGTTCTGAAGGTAAAAATTTTTTTTTATTTAAGTAAATGAGATTTATTTATTGTTAAATTGGATGTATAATTTAAAAGATCAAGAAAATAAATATTCGTTAACTGATACAAAAAAAAAATCGCTTTTACTTGATTTAATCATGAAATACTTAAAACAAAATTAAACTGAATTGTTTGTTCAAAGTGAATTTTAAAAGCAAAGGCTATAAAAAAAAATAAAGGATAAATCATTGAATCATATTTCCGTTTCGTAAAATGGGAAAGCGGGAAAATACGAATCATTTATTTTTCTCCATCGTGTAAGGTTTTATATCAGAAACTTCGCACCATCCGATTTCCAAAAATATTTTTACTACACTTTTGGGAATAAAAAGTACATATCGAAATCTTAAATATTTTTCAAAAGGAATGAAACTGAGAAAACTACGAACACGAATAGATTTAGTTTTTTAAGTTATTTCTGACTGTAAATTGAATCTCTTTTTGGAATAAGCAAATATATACTAGGAAGTGTAAACACATCTATTTTAAATTTATGATTCTATGGCGTAAAAAGATAAAAAAATTCTTTTCTCTCATATTTATAAAATCGTAAAAAAAGGATAGTTGTAAAAAAGGAAATAAACTTAGTGAAATGCATTATTTTCGCTCACATTAAAATACATAAAAACCATATTCTATATTTTAAGCTTAGATTTGCATTTTATAAATAAGAATCCATTTTATTTTAAATGTTAATGTATTTTAACAATGTACTTAATAGTTCAATTTCGTTTCGGTTAAATTAGTTCAAGTAATTGGTTTAAAATTTAACTTGGTTTAAAAAGTTATTAAAATGGAAAACAAAATGTTTTGTAATATTTTAAAAATTGATCAATTTTATTAACTAGATTGTAATAATTTTTAAACGTAGATGATAAAAATGTTTTCATTCAGTTTTAACTTTACTTTTGTTTATGTAACGTATTCTAGAGTAGTAACTAACTTTCAAATAAATTGCAAATATTTGAGAATGACGTTCTAGTCTAATAACAACAAATAATTTAAGCTCATTAGGGTTACGACCTATAATAATATTTGCTCGTGAATTTTTTGCATATTTTTCAAAAGCTACGTATTTACAAGAAAACTGACTATTTGTTTTTACAGTAACTTTTGCTGTTGGAAAGGAATATTTTGACAGTAAAAAAGTAAAGTAGTGTGACTTTATTTAATGTTAAAAGACATTTTTTATTAATCATAAACAATTTGTAAAGCTATACTTAAAAGGATTAAATTAATTTCATTATGAACTTTGATAATTCATTTATTAGTACATTTATCAAACGACATTTTGGAATATTTTAATATTTTGTATAAATAACAAATAAAAGCGCAAAGAAATGTTTCTTCTGAAATTCAATTTTTGCAGCATTGTTATAATATTTTTAATTTCAGGTAAAATTGACTAGCAGCATCTGTAATAAAAAAAACAAAATAGAAATCTTATGTATCAATATTAATATTTATAATGCGTTATCAATCATGCGTTTTAAGTGTTAAATGTTATTTTTATTAAAAAAATAATGTTTTTTAAATGTTACTTACAATTAAGATTCATGCTAAATATTTAGTTCTCATTTATATTTAATTAGTGTTTTTTTTCTTTTCAGATGCTACTGTTTTCAATAAAGAAGGAAGGAATAAAAAAGAAAATTGCAAAAAGAGATATTATTTTATGTTTTACAAGAATTTCAAAAAGCAAGAATTTCTGTTTTTAAGGTTTAAATAATTTATAACGTTTGAAATTTAAATTCAAAATATACTTTTTATTCTAGAGTTTTAAAATAAGAACCCAAAATTCATTACAAAGTTTTCAAAATATTTATTTTAAGGAATAGAGAATGAAAAAAATGTTTCTATATCTTGTGAAATATCAATGCATAAGGCAATGAAGAAATGAAAATAAATACAATTGCAGAGTTTTACTGGTTAGAAAGATTAGTTCTCATTGCATAAATAATGGGTGATATCGATGTTAAAGAGCTATCAAGTCATGATCATGAAGGTAGGTTTTCATGAATTTACAACTTTTTATTGTTTTTTTTTTAAATGAAACTAAATGACATCAATCTTTGCTTTTCTTACTTGAATAGTGTTTTACATTTTTAATCACCTTGAATCAATTGCTTACGCACTATGATATTAAAGTGAAGCAATATACGGAGAAGAAATTCGAGTAAAATTACAACCGTATTCTATCCTAATGTCGATTCTAGTAAAAAATCCATAATTTTGGTGAATGAGAACACAATACACGGTACTTAAACCATTCATTTCGTACCTTTCCGCTGATATGGTATCGGTTTACCAGAAATTCTGATTACCAGAATCAGAAACCAAAATTNTAAAAATATACTTTTTTTCTAGAGTTTTAAAATAAGAACCCAAAATTCATTACAAAGTTTTCAAATATTTATTTTAAGGAATGGAGAATGAAAAAAATGTTTCTATATCTTGTGAAATATCAATGCATAAGGCAATGAAAAAATGAAAATAAATACAATTGCAGAGTTTTACTGATTAGAAGGATTAGTTCTCATTGCATAAATAATGGGTGATATCGATGTTAAAGAGCTATCAAGTCATGATCATGAAGGTAGGTTTTCATAAATTTACAACTTTTTATTGTTTTTTTTAAAAATGAAACTAAATGACATCAATCTTTGCTTTTCTTACTTGAATAGTGTTTTACATTTTTAATCACCTTGAATCAATTGCTTACGCACTATGATATTAAAGTGAAGCAATATACGGAGAAGAAATTCGAGTAAAATTACAACCGTATTCTATCCTAATGTCGATTCTAGTAAAAAATCCATAATTTTGGTGAATGAGAACACAATACACGGTACTTAAACCATTCATTTCGTACTTTTCCGCTGATATGGTATCGGTTTACCAGAAATTCTGATTACCAGAATCAGAATTAGTTTTTTGATTACCAGAATCAGAAACCAAAATTTCTGGTTTCCAGAAATTCTAGTTTTCAGAATTGTAGTTCTTATTACCACATTCAGTAAAAATTACAAAACTGAAAGGTAAATTTAACTGAACTAGTTTTTATGCTATGCTCTAACGTATCATGCTACAGTTATCAAATATTACCATATTTCGCAAATTTTGTCTAACGGGATAAAATCGCATTTTATTGTTAATTTTTTATGAAATTCTTTGCCACATTGATTTGATAAACATTACGGAATTTTTTGGTGTTTCTATTAGATCTAGAACTACGGTAAATTTTAGCGTATTCTGTTAGTTTAGACCATAATTTGTTTCTCACTGTATCAATGCAATCAATTTGCTTATCAAGGTTAAGGAAGATTACGGCTCTACATTATTATACGATTATTGATATATCGAGATTGACTATGTATCGAGATTGATTATGCTTCGAGACTGATTATATATCGAGATTAAAAAATCTCATTTGTATACTATTTTGCAGAAATATTAAATGAGACTAAATTGTTTGTCAGTTCGTTACAAAATTTCTTCACCCATGCGTTATAAACATATTGTGTAAGCAAATTGACAGTTTATTTTAAACATTTGGTAAAAATATTTTGACTTCGCTGAAAAAGTAATATTCATAAAACACGTGTAACAAATATTTTGAGTTTTGTTTCCTTGTTTTTGCTTTTTATTGAGGTTTTGACCAGGCTTTATAAGTGAAACTGGTGTGTTGCAAAAATATTCTTGACATAATTTGTTTAATTTAACTTTATACTTTTTCTTAAAATAGGTTCTGCTTTTAATCTATGAATAAAATTGGTCTTTAATTTCAGTTTCCCTCTATTTCTTTATTTAATATAAGTTTTTTATAAATGTTAAAATTTTTAAGGAATTTTTTTTTAAAAAAATGTTTAATTATGCTCTAGTGAGATCCATGCTTTTTTTTAAATAAAAAATATCACTGCCGTTCCATACACGTTACCTTTGTCAATAGTTTCAGCCATTGTTCATTATTGCAGTTGATTTTCCTTGCATGTAGTTGAAAATATGAAAGAAATAATGCATCTGTGCAGATGTATTTTTATTCAATTACAGCTGCATTTATGAAGCCAATAATAAATGAAGCTATAGATTGTGACTATGTAGTTGTAGACAATTTTACCTTAGCTTCCTCCTTTCATTTTATAATAAGAAATAACAATGTGGTGACATTCCAAGTCATTAGAATGATGTAGACATCAGAAATCTGTATCATTCAAATGATATGTAATATTCCTGTTACATTAAATTAAATTATTTCATTCCATGGATTTTAAAAAGCATATTTTTAAATGCCTTCCGCCTACTTTTATTTTGAGTTGTTGAATTCGCATTTTTTAAAATTTTATTCTTACGTATATGAAGTTTAAATTTTATAATAGTATTTATTTCGAAATTACTCCAGAGAATATTTCATAAAATATATTGTTTTGAAATAAACGTCTAATTTTATTTACATAATAAAATACTGAGTTACTTATTTTTTCCAAATGCCTTTTACATTTTCTTAGATAATGCTGAAAATTCCCTGCTGTAAATACATAATTTAGCATTGTTTTTTACTTTTTAAATTTAACATCGAAATAAAACAAACAATGGGCGGCTGTTCTTCAAATCCTTATAGAGTTTCATCTTATTTTCGACGAAATATCTTTGTTTCCTTTGTGAGGATTATGGTATAACCTCAAAGATTATTTTACCTCATTTATTGAGGATTATTTTCTTATCCCATACTTTTGCTTGCAAGATATAAAAATAAAATACAATTTTCAGACTAAAATGTATATCTTATAAAAACTTATATGGAACATGTTATTGGTTTAAATATTATTAATATTATGTTTAAAGTATTATTCACTTAAAATAATACTAGTAAGAGGCTAAAAATATTAAACTATATTAATATGTGAATATTTTTGTGAAAATAGGAAGTTTATTGATTAGAAAGGGAAAACCGAAAATTTAATTTTGAATCTCGTTTTTTTAAGTAATTAATTCAACCTCATAGTTAATTTAAAACAATAGCTAGTATGTGCGCGTAGTAATAATTTTCACTCAAAATAGTTTGGAAAGTTAGTTTAGAGATTAATCAGTTAAGTATTAACTCAAGTTAAATAAGCGATTAATTTAACAATTTTTTTAAAATGAACGCTGTAAAAAACTTTGTGAAAAAATGTGAAACTTTTCTAAAAATAAATACAATAAAGATAATATAGTTAAATTGTTATGGTTACAGTAAATTTTTAAATACTTTCAGAAATTGTAATTAGTTATATATCAAATCACCAACAAACAGGATATTTCGTATTGATTAGTTTTAAAGAAATCCTACTAGCATCTTTGCGCGAATTAGGGTCAAGCAAATGTGTATTTAAGAAAAGTAAAAAGAAAAACGCACTATTGAGGAAGGGACGATGGAAACCGTCAAAACTTGTTTAATTGCCAGAAAGAAGAGAAAGGTGATTGGTTGACAAATCAAAAAGTTACATAAAGGAATCAAACTTCCTTTAAATTTTTCCTTTCCCGTCTTCCTTGCTATTGGTTTCAAAGATGGTGGATAAAAGTTATCGAGAAATATTGTTAGGCACAAATTATTCAACTGATTTACGCCTATTATTTATTTTATTTTACAGTGTTCTGGATAATTTTTGGCACGAAATTATTATTCATGAACGAATGCGTGTTATTTTAAGAACGAAGGGTTACTTTGGAACGATGTTTCAATAAAGCAGACATCAACTTATAACTTAAATTATTTGTGCTTTCAACCGTTGTATGAGAATATAGGTTTATGTTCAGGGAAAATTGAGGTATAATTTGATACAATAAAGCCGGTAGCAACTTATTATTTAAATTATTTGTGCTTTCAACAATTGTATTCTCTAGTAGGTGAATAGGCAAGTTAGGTGAAAGAGAAAAAAATAAGGTATAACTTGGTATAATAAAGTAGACAATGACGTATAATTTAAATTATTTATGCCATCAACCGTTGTTTCATTCGTGTGGGATTAAGTTAATGATAACGGAAGCAGAGGACAAATGAAGTATAATGCGGTATAATAAAGCATACAACAAATCATGATTTAAATTATTTGTGTTCTCAACCATTGTTTCTCTTGAATGGGAATATATTTAAGTTAAGAGAATAAAAAATTAAGGTATAACATGGTATAATAAAACAGACACCAACTAATAATTTACATTATTTGTACTTTCAACCGTTCTATGGGAATAGGTGTTATGTTAAGTAAAAAAGAAGAAAAATGTGACATAACTTGCTTGTTGGTCTGCAAGTAGGAGGTTGAGTACTCTGATATTGCGTTAAGTATGGACATTCAGGCAAGGATATTCTTTTTATTTTATTTTACAACCAGTGCTGGACAGCCAATCCAATTCTTCGCTTACGACTATCAATGTTCAATTCCAATGCCTTCTAATTTTGAACTCAACCCAGAAGAAAAGGCAACTCCTGAAACAAGCATTGGGGAAAACTAGCCCCCCTGGAGAACTTTTTGATAGAATTGACTCACATTTGCGTTACATGGTGAGGAAAACCACGAGACCTCCCACCATGGTTCCTAGGCTAAGATTTTAAAGCATTAGGTTTATTTTATACTCTTCGCGTACTGAGAAAAAAATATGATCAGAACTATCAAAACATGGTAAAATTTACCATGTTTCTGGCTCTACGGAAAAGCCAAAAATCTCGGTAATTTTAACCAAAATGCTTTGGTAATGATTTTGGTAACGTTAAGATTAAAATATCGCTTTATAATATGCCTGAAAAATTAGTAAATATGGTAAAATTTGATGATTTTATCATGATATCTTAAAGCATGGTATGAAAATGATTTATTCATTTAAATTTACTTTTCAGTAAAGTATTTTTACTAAATGTGTAGCAAGAAGAACGATAATTTTGAACACCAGAGTTTCCGGTTAACTGTTACCGTATGAACCGAAAAATTGCCAAATGAATGAATTAAATATCGCATATTTTAGTTGTATTAACCAAAATCATGTTTTTTTATTAAAAATATCCTTACCATACAGTAAGATAAGTTTATCAGAAAATTTATCTCCTTGTGAATCTCTCCTTTGTACTGCATGAATGTGCCTCTTCCTAATAAATAAAATGAAAGTGAGATGCGGCTTACAGGCGTCCACTATTAATTCTAAATTAGATGTTTCGTTTTTTTTGAGACATGGGATAAAATCTAAATGTTTTTAATAGTGCAGTTGGTATAGAACATATAACTTATTAACCTATAGATAATTTAAAAAGTAAATGATCCTTCATAATTTATATAAATATATTTTGGAAGTTTTATAAATTTCTTTTATGTGATTAGGACAATACACTGAAAAATTGTATTATTTTGCAGTGCTGGGAGTAGATTTCTGCTCTGGTTACACAGACATTTTTGGAAAATGGAATACAGGGTTCAACTGCCCACGTGTGGGTAATAGTAAAGTTGTGTATTGTTGTGGCACGGTCACATACAAGTACTGCTGCACAAGACGAGATCATCATTCAGGTTCAGGAATTAGGTATGACTTGCTTTTATTTACGCTAATTTAACTTTAGAAGTTCCACAATATATATATATATATATATATATATATATTTCAAGCTTCATAAATTCA